GTATGGAGGCACGTGTAACCTTCGTATGTACTTTGTTTGTCTGAACGTATCTTCTGGATGTTAAGGAGAGTGAGGAAGTAAGCAAACTGAGAGAAGCCCCGAGCAAGTTTGCTCTCTGTTGTTCAGCCAAGCTGAAGCGATACGTCTTCTCGGGGAGTAGTGGAGCCTTTGCCAGGGTGGCCTTATAAACTGGAGATTGAATACAGCCTCAGCACTCATTATTTACTTATTATTTCGACCAACCTCATCTCAAACCAACGGTGATAGTGTAAAGGGCCATATGCATGTCAATGGATGACAATGGTGGGTTGATGAATGCCAGCGTAATTGGATCTTCAATGAGGCACTATCTTTGCCTTCGGATACCACCCAACCGTTTCATTTTCAAAGTTGTGACAGATCATGTCTTCAATTCAACCCACACGTTTTCCTTGGTACATTCTAGCTGGATCTGTCAAATACTAGCTTCCACTGTTAAACGTGAAACTCCGGGTCCAACTGCTGAGTAATCCCTGATAGCATTGTACTTCCGACAACTTGCTCATGAGAATTTTCAATGGTATTGGATGCATTAATCGGCTCTTGGCCTCATGAATAAAATGTCGTTTACTAATTGCCTTGACTAATCAATCTCCCTCATACAGCGGAGAAGTTATTGGAAAAGGGATGTTGCTGTGGGCAATGATTGAAGGAAAATGAATAGTAGTGGTCAGAGTTACTGTCCATTTTATGGCAGCATAACACGCCGAAGAGACGATAATAAAGCCATTTCAGTTGGCAAATCGATTGCAGGGAGTCACGAGTGTGCACGAGTGTTCCACCTGGCTCTGAGCTCTTGCAGCCCTGGACCTCGTCTGGCACAGAGCTAACTTGCGCAATATTCCTCCTGGGTCTCCTTGTGGGTGTTACATTATCCCTACTTCCTACTTTCTACATGGGATATTCGCCGAGCAGTTTGCCAGCAGTACCAAGCCCGTTCCACCGGAATGGACGAATATTCGGGAGGTTGTTTAAAACTCTCCGGGGTTGGCTAGCCCACCAACAGTGCCTTATTAACCTTGTTGTTTCATTCGCATTCTCACGAATTTCTCATAGCTCCAAATTTTCACATTAAATTCAACTCGCTGACTTCCAATTGCTATTTTATCGAGCCAGTGACAATTGCCGCTTTTCGATATTCTCCGAGAGGGATATTTGACAAACTTTACCATCATCCTTTCTCGCGGCGCTCCCAACTTTATGAAAGAGATATCCCGCGTAAATAGTTCACTTCAACTGGTGAGCGACACTTTCAGTGTGAAAGGAATCCTGAAAATTTCTCACTTTATCAAATTTTCCCAGTTACAATTATCCTTCTCGGTTATTATCATCGCGGACTCGCGGGGACAACATGTCCTCTTGAAAGGTACAAGCCACTGGAGAAATACTGATGAATATTCAGCCAAGAGGTCTCAAGGTACTTTTTTTTTATTAATGAATGGGAATTTGAGAGAGGTCTTGAAGACTTTTGGTATAACAGATTGACGCGTTTGCCATGATAGCACCCAGGGGTCTGGGAAGCTGTGTTTGAGAGTCAAGTCAGGGTCACAACTTACCTCCACGCTGCGTAATTCAGTATTCCATGCATAAAAACATAAAACCCCCGCGGGGGCCACCCCAGGTGGTGGTAATCCATGAAAAGTCTGTCTTTTCGTAATTATACGGAAAGAATATGGAGCTCTCGACTCACCTCCCTTTGTTTTTTATTTCTCACATTATTTTTCTCGCTTTACCTCCACCAAGGGCTCCGCCAGCACGCAAATCGAGTCGAATCACTTCGTTCTTACCATTCGAACTCGCAGCTCAGAGCTATGAGAGCCTACACTCAGGAATATTAATTAATTAGCAGTTTCTCTGACTTTTCTCGAGGTAGCGAATAAAAAAAGTGTTTTTTTCCCTGGTTTTTTCCTTTTTTTTTTCTTTATCGAGGAGTGAAGGAATGAATTGGTGGGCGATCAGAACCTCCCAGCTGAATTCTCTAATACCAGATCGTTAATATCCCGGAAAATCTCCAGAGAGTGCAGCCCCGAAGATACGACAATACGTTTTCTATTCTTACCGGCTTCTCTCCCTCTCTGAAAACTCACTTTTTCCTCTTCCACTTTTTCTTCTTTGTTCTCCTCCCTTATCCGAGGAGATGCCTCTCACGGGACCGCATTCTGCTTTTCCACAAGTCGTGGAACGACTGGACCCTATATATAACAGTTGGAATAGTGTCTCTGGCGATTTTTATCTATTGTTTAAAAACTCACTCCCACACCCGTATATTCTCACAAAATTTTGCGGTACGTTCTTCTTCTTGTTCATCTTCTTCGTCGTCTTCTTCAGGAAAATTCAGCTCTTTATAAATCTTGGTTGGGGGAGGGGAAATGAGAGGGTTGTTCTCGGCTACATACTCTCAATACAATTTCGTCCAATCAACTTGAAAGTGCACTTAAAGAGTGGAAGTAGGAGTGAAAATAAAAATTGCAGTTAACAGAGCGGAAACTGCCCGAGAAATGGAAATGGGGATATGCGAAAAACAGGACAAGTGGGTAATTTCGTCAACTGTTCCCGTGAGACGTTCTTTATTGCACAATCTCGATTTACCCATTCGTACTTTACTCAGACCCCTATCATTGTCTCCAATCGTACTTCGCAGCTACAGTTTTTTAATTAAATCGTTGGGGTTTACCCCCTCAACTCCTGATAAACCCTAGAGTAATGAAAGAATTATTTAAATTTCAATAATTTTCGATGTGTTGAATCACGTGGGACATTCTCATGACAAGCACCTGCAACCGGATAAATGTCCAGTCTTTTTCACTCCATAATGGGATATAGATGAAAATCTCTCGGTATTCAGGCGGGTCAATATTGATACTTCTCGGGATAAGAATAATTAAAAGTCGAAATGGATATTTCTGTTGGTTTAGAGAGTATTGTAGAGCGAGCGCTGGCATAAAGGGAAATCATGATATGAATATCGTCTATCGCGATAGCTGTGAAATTTTTTTAAAAACGTTGTTTAAAAACAATGTACAGTAAAAATATAATGTGAGTCTAATAAAAATTACAATTTGCGGGTTCAATTGTTACAAGGACGGTGTGGATTTTATTATAGGTATCCCATTTGTTTGAATAGACGGTCAAAATGAAATTACTCAAGTGAAATTTCCATTTTCAATTCCCATTTTGCGCCATTCACCCTGCACTTGAAAGGGGTCAATATTAATTTTCACTCTGTACGTAGCAGTTCAATCAATCAGCCATCAGTGTTGGGTAATCAATATAAATGTTTAAATTTCATCGCGAGTATTCCTGCTATCCGAGGAATCACAATGACAATGAAAAAAAAAATCTCCGTAGAATATTCCCCAGAAAAACTGACACGAGATAAGTGAATTTTTATTCAAAATCCTTGAAAACTTTTCTCATTTTCGGAATAATTTATTTTGCGAATGTATTATTCATAAAACAAGAACCGCTGGACTCTTAAACCGACAATATTATTGCCTGAAGCTGACGCGCTTATTACATTTAAATTACGATCCCGGGTTATTATCGAGGTGATAAATCAGTGAATTATGAGTTGTTAAAAACTCATAGCGAAATATGTACAATAAAGAGTTTATTCATAATACCTTGGCAAATATCGATTAAATGATCTCGAAGTAAATCGAATCCTCAGTGGAATAACTAACATTAATTCATTACACCCACCAGTAGAAATGATCAGTCTGTCGTCTGGCATTCCATCCATTTGCGCTTTTCGATGGCTTTACCTCTTTTATCGTCAAATCCCTCGGTCTATTCAATTGAATAGCGAATAATACCGAGCATAACTGAGACGTCTTTGGCTATCGATCCCCCAGGGGACCTATTCTCGACACTTGGAAATATAATCCATGAACGAATATTTGGTATTTCCTTGAAAACGCTGATTCGTTAAACACATCTCGATGCAAATGTGATTCGTAGGTGGATCGGCAACATTTGTTAACGAATTTGTTATTCCGTTAGTCTTGGAATTCTCATCTACGGATTAGGATACTTCGTATGGGAATAAGATTTGTGTGAGATAATAAAATTGTCGAACGAAAGATTTCCCGTCACAAATTAAAAATTCTCAAACGAAATTGATCAACGAATCATTCGTTCCCTCACGAATTGCGTTTCGTTGACGAAAGACGTTTTCGATGCGCGGAGAATAGGCCCCCAGGAGAATTCCCAGCCATTCATTGGGGGAAAAATTGAGGAAAAGGGTGGACCCGAGTAAAAAAATATTATGATTAAAGGCTTTTGATGTACAAGTGGTATGGAGGTTTATCCATTAACCGAGATGTGAGGCGTTATTGGAAAATGAAATGACGCCAGGACGTCTCGGCGCCAGAGTCTCGAAACTCATCGAGACTCACTCCCCCTGTTATTCCTCCCTCTCTAGATTTCTCCCCCTCTGACCCCCCAGTGTTTTCTTATCGATCTTCGCCTCTGGTTTTAGCATGCTGGGCTTCCCTGACACTCAATCCCAAGCTCTCCGTGCTATTTTGTTTGTTGACTTTTATCCTCTAATGTACAAGGAAAAAGAGGGGAAACACTGGGAAAAAAAAAACGGAAAGTTGGTATTCACTTCCCTCATCGTTTATCATGGCCACCGAGGAAGATTTATATCATCGAGTCTGTTTTTTTTTTATATTACAACAAGGTCAGATGATAAGAAAGGAACAAGATTATAATTATCAGAATTTGCGGGCCGGGGGGAACCGGTGGAAATTAATAAGTCCATTGATGATGGAATTAATTCTCCAAGGGTGGAGATGCATAAGCCGGTAAATATTAAGAAAGAAAAGATTAAGATTCCCTCCAATTACTCGAGAGGGAGTCAAAGAGCCCCTGAAATAGGATTTGTTGTGACAAGCCCGGGCAGCATCTCGATGCACTTCACCGGGAGAATCACTAATGATTCTGTCGTTTGTTTGCAGAATTAAAGTAACTAGACTGCAGAGAGAAACTCGGAGTATCAACAATGGCGGCTTTTGTGGCGAAGCAGATGGTTGGAAACAAGCTGAATGCCGTTAAAGGTGAGTGCAAGAAGATGACTCCCACATAAATTTCTACGAGATTCTCTCTCTCTTCCACTGGGTAGTCCTCGATAAACCGCTTTTCCATTAATTCCATGGGAGATTTCGAGTGATTGCTTCAATAGTCCGATCTAGAAAAGTCTCTTCGTACGTGATTTCACCGAGACTAGGGGAGAAAAAGGATAATTAAGTCGGTGAAATAGTACGGTTCTCTGTAATTTAAGCAATTCAATTGAATTCAATTATGGACCTACGAAATTTTGTCGACGACGAGATCGGGCTGGGGAAACACATCCGTAACATTAAATTCACCGAGTTATATCCATCGATCGATTTCCTCCCTTCCATCTTTTCGGACTATTCTGGCTGGCAGCCGGAAATTCGGGGATACTCTGATGCGATAAAGGCAGGAGGGACAGGCCAGGATAAATGGCGGGAGATGTGCCTGAAATTTCCATGAATTACCATGACTCGAGGTTTATCGCGTGGTTGCGCGGGAGGAACCAACCAACCCCTCCAACACCCCTCCGACACCCCCTTCTCCGACACTCCCCTTCAACCCCGGTAAACTCACTTTACCACTTTTACGCACATCATTCTCATCCCTTAAACTTGTACAATTTTATCGACCATATTAAAATCTTCAATTCTACTTCCATCGAGAGTCATTAATAAATAATTGCCTGAAGATTACCACAAAATATCAGTATAAATTCATCCCCGGAAAATAACCACGTGATTACATTCATACCCATTCTTTTATTATTCAATAAAATTCCTTTTTTTTACAACCAATAAAACCAAGTTGTAATCATGGATTGAATAACATAAAAAAGGCATGGCTTATAAATATCCACAATGTAGTAAAAATTAATGAGTTATCGGAATTTTTTGTCGTTTCTGTTTTCCATTACGACTTATTACTCACTGTAATGGCATACAACTAATTTTGATTATTGTAATATAAAAACATGAGGGATTACAAAATATTACTCCTTGTAGTATTTCCAATTGGATTCTCACTTTAACGCGCACATATATTCAGTGCCGAGCTGGCGTGCAATAAAATTCACTTACTAATAAAACACGACTCGTGGCACTTGTCATCCACGCAGAATATTATAATTCGACTGAATGGTGCATGGAAGTTTACGACGAAGTGCTCTACATTGTGTTACTACTCAGTCAGTTTCTAACATGGCCAAACTCTGGAAATTCAAATTGTTTGAATGAATTCAGAGATAGTTAATATAACACTTGGGAGAACCTCCGTAAATGACATCCTTTGTCGATGTGCCGTGATAAGATCCGATTAGATTCTGCTGGTGACACTCGGTTGACAACAGAATTCCCAGAAATGATAATCCATATGGGCTAGGGACATTGGTATTGAGGGGCAATGGCAGGGTCTCGATACCGGCATTATTTTCATTTTCTCCAAGAGGAAAAAAAAGGTGGTGAAAATTCAGCGCTGAAAGCATTGGATGTTTTCCGCAGGTTTACGAACTTCTTTTTGGAGTAAATGGAAATATACGATATTGGAAGGAGTGAGATGGTTGGACGAGTGGGAAAGTGGAGAAGGGTGCTGGAAAAACCCAAGCCTGCAGTTTACAACATGCCCGACTTTACGGCGCAATATCCCGGGGCTTGTTGTACGCTGATCTACCTAGTTTTATGATAATTACAGAACTCGTGCCCTTTCATTGGTCGTGGAACATAGACGCATTCTTTGCAGCATTCAATATATAGCATAAAGCATCGAGTGAAGGGAAAAAAATAGTCAGAGGCGACCAATTAAAGTGATAAACAAGGGAGAATTGAGTGTGACTTTTTATTTTTTTTTTCTGGTGAAGAGAGGTGACTGTTTCCGGTGGAGTTATTTCAATTGACGATGGAGGGATCGAGTGGAGAACGAGGAGTTGGTACATTCCCCCAAGTGTATTTCAAGGTAACAACTTGCAAACGCACAGTGCAGGGAGTTTCTATTAACACGCTGGATGGACTATTGGAGTGCAAGATCGAATTGAGCTGTGGAGGGACTCAACTCTGTCGGCAACAATTAGTGGAGACTTTTCGACGAGTGTACTGGTCAATAGTGCTGAGGGAATTAGAAAAGTGTGGAGGGACACTGGGAGGGGCCATTGGAAAGGGAGTTGTGACCAAGCTTGGAGGTTTTGTAAACTGAAAACCACTACTAACTATCGACTCCTCTTCACATTCGCCACCTGTTTCGTTTCACTCGAGTGCTTCATCTTCTTTTCTCGTTGACTCTTTTTTGTACACCACTGGGGTCTCTGAACACTCGCCTGAGTTAATTGAAATCCTGGATCAATTGAACCGCAACACTACTCTATAACGAATCTCCCTCTATTTCTCTCGCACTTATTTTCCGGCCTTTTGTCATACCTCTGTATTATTTCTCCCATTCTCCTTATACCATGGATGATTTATTTATTTATTCCGATGATGCTAATGCATTCGATCCCCAACCCATCCAAGTGCATCGTTTAATTACTGCATCGGCGTTATTATAACTAGGGTCATACCAGCCGTTTGTAATGTCCACGAAGCACCGAGAGGGCACATTGCGATCAGACCTGAGTAATTTAATAATAGTGACCACTAACCACACACCCCACTATCGATATCCCTTTATATTAAAATAGCAATGGGTTATTAATTTCTTTCAATTTCGATCACTCGATTTTTATTCAATGCTCGATTCTTGCTCAATGAGTTTTCCAACAGATTCAAAGATTTCTAAGATTCAAAATGGTTAAAAACGTCGGATAACTCTTCAATTCAATTATATTATCATTGATTTTCAGCGTTAAACCTCTAATTCACCCTGAACGTGCCCAACTGCGCACGTCAGGGACCTAGTATTATATAACGATGCATGATTTTCAATCAATATTAACTCAGAGCTCGAGGATGCTGGAAATGATCGTGACCCCTTCGGTGCTCTTGGTATTTTCATCTTGAAATTCTCGGGGCAATAAAATTGAGATACACGGATCAGGCGCATTGCTTCTGGGCAATTTGTCTCTGATATTTTACGCCCAACAGTCATCGGCATAATTTCTGAAGGGGACTGGTGGATCCGTACAATGACACACCGGCTCAATCCAAAGGGAGATATGATACCCCAGTAGAATTTCTCCTTTCCCTTCCAATTCGACCCAATTCCAACTCCGATCCTTTAAGCTCCGATGCTTATATATATATATTCATCCACCATTCACCCGCATACATGTCTTCTTCATCCCTTTGATGTACCCTGAAACCTAGAAATTTCGTACACACATTTGGACTTTTATGGTGAATTTTCTGCAAACAGTTACCTCCATTTTCAGCCCCAGTGCAATGTCCTTCAATCTCTCAAATAATCATTATCATCGGCTATTTTTCCCCAGTCGGTGAACCCCTAATTGATCATTCTGGGCATAGAATCACTCACAGTCAATTTTCTTGAGAGCGTTCCTGCTGAATTAACTAACTCTTGCCATTAACGAAATTATGGCTGCCTAGTCTTCAAACGGAATGACTCAGTGCCTCTAGTCCAATTACATTTCAGCTTTTATTCTACTGAGTTGATGCACGGTGGAAAATTTCCGAGAATAATTCTACTTCTGGCACTGTAATTTCTCGTATATTCCCCGGAAAATTCGTCTCTGCAGAAAAACTACACGCCCTCATATTTTTCAGTGAAATTTACAATTTCACTATTTCAGGGAAGAATCCGAGGGAATTGTAAATTATACGTAAACCTTCCATAAAATTTCAATTTCTTCAAGAATGCAACTGCTCCTTTCGATAAGTCTCACGTGTGCACTTGTTTCATCTCCACCAATGTTTAACACAAAAGAAAAACCACCAGCGGGGTTAACGTATACACAGCCTGGATAAATAATGGCTACTGTTTAAGTCATGAAGTCGTTTGGCGTGACAAGAGTTGCTGAGGGTAACGGTGCGTGAAAGGAAAGTCCTGTTAACGCATAAATATTGATGGCATCGAAACTCAACAAACTAGAGTGCAAATGAAATCTCAACGCTCATGTTTTTCCCAATTCCTGAAACAATGGCTTCTCCCCAACTCAGTCCTCTATCAAACATATCATTTCTCCGGATAATCACTTAAAAAAAAAACAATTGATAAATTAATAAACGCTTGTTGGATATTCACTCACTCGATATTCCTGAGTGCCATCGCACCGATCCGGATTCACATGGCAGACATTTTACATACATAACTACATATGTACGCACATATAGCGAGTTAAAAGTGGGATGAACTGTTATAGGAATGACCTCGGTCCGATATTTAATTAAATGTTGGCTGACCAGTAGCCGATGCCGCTTGTCAATACTTGGGAATAGCTCACCAGTGGCGCCATAGGAATCTATTGGACATTTTCCCAGAGTTTTTTAATGATTTTCCTCATATGAATTCACCATTAAAGTCAGTAAATCATTGATTTGGGGCTGAGGGAGTGTAACCAAGTGCCAGCATTGAAATGCCCATTAATTGATGAATACGTTAATTTCACTTTTACACTCCACCGACAGCCCTGTTCATAGCTGTATTTAGCCGCGAGTTATTGATAAACGAGAGAGAAGTTGATTGCTATAGTCCAATTGCTCTCACCACCAAGGAACAATGGGTGAATTTTTCTTTCTATCCCATAATCAACCCCAAATCAATATTCATTCTTTACACACTGGCTTTCATTTTGCCATTCTCCATATTGATTCGTTTCTTGGCTGTCTCTGCAGTCTCGACAACGTCATCGAGAAATTCTATACCCATGGTAATTTAAACTTAATAAAGCGCGTCGTCACCAGCGCGTGTCGAGGATTTTTCCTCCATTCCTCACTGGCTTGAAAGAACGCAATTGAATGCGTTGAATGCTCATTTACCTGGGGCTTGCCAGTAAGAATAGAATGAGAGACGATGTTCGGCCCTTGAGTCGGGCTGCAGTTAGCACTTGAATGTTCCA